ATCTAAAAAGTAAAAATGTTTGAAAAAGGGGATGCAAAGTGGAGGAACAGAATCTGTTTGCTCTTATAAACAGGGATCATTTTGACAATTCCCTTTATTGTCATGTTAATGGAACCTTGCTTAAACACACGCATACGATTCCTGTGTTATTTTTAAAGCTGTAAGCCAGAAGGACTTGCTTATCTGGATCTGGTACATTTATTTAAGGCTGAAGATAAACTCAGAAGAGCTGTTGGTGTGTTCAAGTCTCCTGGGAAGTTTGCATTTAGAAATCAGCAAGTCTTTATTATGTACTAAATCAGTGAATGTACAATACAGGTTTGCACCACTTTAGTTAAGATGGCTCAATATTTTGTTTTAACTCCACATCAGTAAACAATGTGTATCAATGCTTTTTTCAGTTTTTGAAGATGGTCTTATCATTCTCAAGAAAAGTCTTAAGATAATTAAGACTTAACTTCTAGTACTATTTGATAATCTAAACTTTAGCACTACAAAAGTAACAAACAAAATTACAATGGCTTTCGAACACCATTTATTCATTTTTCTATTCTAACTTTAAAAACTAATCTAATCTAATGTCTGTCAATTTTATAAATGTCACTGAAAAGGAAAAAATAGGTCTTTGAATTCAATGGATCTTTATTTCTATAGTGCTTTTATAATGTAGATTGTGTCAAAGTAGCTTAACATAGAAGTTCTAATAGATTGAAAGTGTGAATCCAGTTTTTAAAGTTGAAGTTCAGTTTAGTTCGGCTCAGTGTGGTTTAAATTTCACTGCTGGAAGGCCAAACACTGAAGAGCAAATCCATTGACACGCAGCTCCACAAGTCCCAAACCAAGTAAGCCAGTGGTGACAGTAGCGAGGAACAAACTTCATCAATTGATGAAATTGAATAAAAAAGCCTCAGCAGAAACCTGGCTCAGTCGGACATGACCATTTCTCCTTTGGCCAAACAACTTATGCAGAGCTACAGTCTAGGACGTCCATTGTGGAGAAGCTGTGATGTGAGTGGGTCACCGGTGGGTGTTCAGGCTGGCCCACAAGATCAATAAGAAGACTTGTCAGTCACTGGAGTCTTACAGGGATCAGTCTCATGCTCTCAACTCCTCCATGACCACCACAGCAGATGCTCAGGATACGGCCTGGTCCAGGATTGTGGATACCTTGGCAACATCTCTTTACAGATCTTGGATCACATCATCAATTTAGTCATTTAGTTTTTGATCTTGTTATGATGTTATGTGAGGTTTTATATTCTTCTTTTGTTCTTTGTACTGTTGTAGCGTCCGAGTCTAAGAAAGGTGCATTATAAACAAAATGTTTTATAATTATCAATATCATCATCATTCTTATTATTATTAATATTACTATTATTCTTATTATTATCATCATTCAATTTATGTGCAATGATGAACTCATTAGATATTTCTGACATGACTTGAATGCACACTGTGGTCCTCCAGGAACTGATTCGAGAGCAGTGTGAGAATCAGTGTGAATCTTGCATTTCTGGTGTGACGCAGAGGGTCTAACTGACAAGTGATGAAAAACAAGTACAAGAGATCTTAGGCTTTCTGAGTTTTATTTGGCAGACAGAATAACTTGAAGAGATAGTCTCAATCTATTAATTTTATTCTTGATGCACGAGCGGGTGCAGACGTATTCCTTTTGGCTCGAGACTTCTGGTCTCATTCACTTCCATTGTTTTTAAACGTTAAAAACGACTCGTTAAGCTGTTTCATGTTGCAAACTGATCTTTTCATATTATATTATTCTACTTTTTATGCATAGTCATAAACACACTTGTTTGTAGAGCAAGAGGTTAGGCCATTTTCTGCCGTTTATTATAGGCAACTGAATAAGAAGTTCTAAAACAATCACAACAACGTGTGCACTTTTGCATTACAAATAAGCTCAATAGTGGCATTCAAGTTTTTTTTTTTAATGTACAGTAGATTTCATTACTGACATTTGGTCTACTGAAATCTTCACCAACTAATTAACTGGTTGTTCAACATCAGTGAAATACTAAAATATACTAAAAGTCTACTATACTGTATATGGTGTCTCTTCAACAGCTTTGTGCATCAGTCTCAATTAAAACCCTCTCAAACTAAGTGGCATACAAACCCTCTGACATACTAATACAGAAAGAAAAAAAAAATCACATGGACTTGGGATAAAGAGGGAAAAATTAAATGAACCTTTTACTAGACAGACAAGGACTGAATGGCAATCATCCAAGAAAGGGAACTTTAACATCATCTTAAACTCCATTCACAGACACATCTTACATGTTCATTAAATTGTTTACCAGATTCCACTGCAGATTTGATTTACTTTAATCTCATTTTGACATAGTGTTCAAGATAGTCTAGATAGCCTCTTGTATTGGACAACCATCCTAACATTGCCAAGACAGCCAAAACCCTACTCAACCCAACTCAGTGATCTCTACTCTACTGATATCTAAAAAGACTACTAAGATAAAATTGATAAAATAATAGTGCTGCATGCAGTTAATGAAGTTACTGCTGTTTTGATAGTGATAATTTGAAGCTATTTTGGTGTTTCAGATGTGACTGAAGTTTAACCAGGCATTGCAACATTATCCATAACAATGGATGAAGTCAACAAGCTGTGTGATGTTCCAAATATGTAGATAATGTAGAGTTAGGTGAACAGGCCAAGCAGGATTTTTTGGTTGTACAAAAAACAAACAAACAAACAAACAAAAACACCACCACTAAGCAAAGGAGTCAGATTAACTTGGTATGATAGGCAGCTTTATGGTATATTCAAATACATAAGTGAGATTTTCAATATTTAACCCAAATTTGGGTTAAAACTACAAAAAAAATTTTGTACAATGGACAATTACAAATAGGTTTGGGTTTTTGTTTTTAAAGCAGTCTTCGCGATTTCCAAGACTGCATTTATTTGATCATAAACACTATAAAAACATAACAATTATTGGGAAATAACAAATTAAATAATGAAATACATTTTAAAATGCAGTTTAAGTAATTATTTGACTAAAGTTGTGTTGTGAGCACCAATTACTGCACATTTACATTTTGAAAATAGTTAATACTATACTTAAAAAAACTTTACAATACACACACGCACAATAAATAACCAAGAAAAAAAAACTCTCAACCACCATTAGTCAAATTAGGACCATTAGGACCAAAACCACACCATTATCCAGCTGACCATAAGCATCTCATTAACGTGAAGTTAGGTGAACAGGCCAAGCAGGATTTTTCAAATTTTTTTTCAAGATTTTCAATATTTGACCCAAATATTGGTTAAAACTACACCAATTTCTTTTTACTTTTATGTACAATTACAAATAAGTTTGGGTTTTTGTTTTTAAAGCAGTCTTCATGATTTCCATATCTGCATTTATTTGATCATAAACACCATAAAAACTGTAGTGAAATAACTCAGTCATGATAAATTTAATAATAATAATAATAATAATATACATTTTAAATGCATTTATGTAATTATTTGACCAAAGTTGTGTTGTGAGCACCAATTACTGTATATTTACATTGTAAAAACAGTTAAAACTATACTTAAAAACATTATAATACACACACGCACAACTAAATAACCAATAAAAAAAAAACCTCAACCACCATTAGTCAAATACTCAGGACCAAAACCACACCATTATCCAGCTGACCAAAAGCATCGCATTAAGGTGAAGTTCTTTGATAACTCTTACATTACATTGATAACTGTTAACATTGTCATAAGTCCACGATAAAGTACAGCATTGTCCTCCATGTCCGGCTCTCTAAACTAAAACACGTATAACCAACACAACTGAATTGTTTCATCACCACAGACTCCATTAGTATTCCTATTTACAGTCAGGGAAACAAAAGCTTCTCCATTTAACACTCTGACAAGTGGGCAAAGGGCAAGCATTGTGGCATTTGTTTACACATGGAGCTCCAGACTCACAGAGCAAACTGAATGAGGAAATTAATCATGTTTTCAAAATGACGTGCATTATTCCATTTGAAAAATATTTATCTGAAGCGATAACAGAAATGTTGGCGAAAAGCAACAAGCAAAAGAACATTTTGTGGATTGCATGTCTTCTATTGGTAGTTTTCACGTGTCGTCACACCATTAGGGGAACGCCCCTTGGCGGGCAAAACATTACTATCTCCCACTGATCGTAAAGTTGCGGCTTTTTTCTTTCTTTATCATTTTTTAGACAAAAAGCTAGATAATTGTTGTGCAATAAGGTTTGGCATTGCTTACCGATTAGGCGACACACTTGAGCAGTGTTTCTACAGAATTTCTTCAGAGAAAGAACAGCCAGAAAGGGAGAAATGTATGGATTTGTGCCCAATGATAGCATCAGTGACCCATAACAATTTATGGTACTTATAACTGTCAATACGTTTATGCTTTTTATACAGTTTATATTTTAATTTGCAGGCCAAGTGCAATAAAAGTATAAATTGAAATGCAAAGTATAAATAGCAGAAGCAAATATTAATCTAAGTAAAAGAAATGGACACCTAATAGAAAAGCAAACACTTATGTGATATAACGCCGTCACTAATGATTAACGAATGAATGAATAAACAAAACTTACATTAAACATCAAATATATCTAGTATGACCTAAAAATTGTCTAAATTGATATTAGTTTTAACCTCCTCCTCTAATTACACCAGCGAAACAGATGACAAAGCGACACTGTTTTAAAAAAGCCAGGGTGCTCATAAAAGTCCGACTGAATTACGGCGATTAATTTTCATAACACAACAAAATTACATGTAAAATAAAGGCATCTTTTATCTCTTATGGTAGATTTTAAATCCAACAATATGTAGTCACAGGTTATTATGAAATATTTATTGTAGCACATAAGCATCAATAGCTACAATAAATGAGGGTCTGAACAAGTGAACAGAGAAAGCGATATACAGAATATAAAGGAGAGGAAGGGAGGATTGTTGCCCACCTTTGTTTGGAGCGATTTTCACCCCAACACAAGGTTCCTCTTCGTCTGATTGTTTGGAAGGAAAGCAGCTGGGGTTACCGGATTTATCTGAAAGAAGCCAAGAGAAATATTTAGTTTGTTTCATTCTTGTCACTATTTATGTACAGTAGAGAGAGGGAACAAAATATTATGCGGGAAGAGGATTAGATCTGGCTTTGGGATCTGTAGGTTTTTTAGAATAAGCTTTTCTATTCTCAAAAATGCACTATAAACTGTACAATATTATTATAATTTAAAGTAAATGTGCTCTGTTTTAATGTTTTAAAATGTTATTAATGCCTTTAAATGGCAAAGCAGAATTATCATTACTGAATATAATTTTTCCATGATATATTTTTGAGTAATGTGGCAGCACGGTGGCTCAGTGGTTAACTATGTCGCCTCACAGCAACAAGGATGCTGGTTTGAGTCTCAGCTGGGCCAGTTGGCATTTCTGTGTGGAGTTTGCATGTTCTCCCTGTTTTGGTGTGGATTGATGTTATAGGTAAACTGAATAAAATAAATTGTCCATGGTGAACGAGTGAGTGTGTGTGTGTGTGTGAATGAGTGTGTATAGGTGTGTGTTCCTAATACTGGGTTGCGGTTGGAAGGGCATCCGCTGTGGAAAACATATGCTGAAATAGTCAGCGGTTCATTCCGCTGTGCCGACCTCTGATAAATAAGACACTAAGCTGAAAGAAAATTAATGAATGAAGTTTTGACTAATGTAAACAAGAGAAACAGAAATCCTGAAAATGAAATCCAAAGATTCAAGCCAACCCAATACATGCCAGGAATGGAAGCTACATATAACTTAAAAATATAAGGTAATGTTTGGAGGTAATATTGTAGATGGAAACTGAGGAGGGCAGAGAAATTTGTGGGTGGGCTAAGAATAAGAACAGGGGAGAGAAAAAAAAATCTGCAAAATTTGAATCCTTGTCATTAATGGAGAGTTAGACCACGCTATTACAGCTATTACTCTTCTGGGAAAAACTTCATCCATTAAATGTTGGATGAAATCTGTGAGGATTTGATACCATTTAGAAATAAATGGTGTTTCATCCCAAAGGTCTTAAAAGGAGTTCAGACATGGATTGTTTCTGCATACCAGTTCTTAACTAAAGTAAATTAAATGACTCTGCTATGAGCCTTGGTTAGAGCACACAACACTGTCCTGAATATGGAATAAAAGAGGACACCCTGAAAACTCTAAGAAGTTGGACAGTTAATAATAATTACAATGGAGAAAAAATAAACAATCAAACAAACAAATCAATAATTAGACTAGGCTTAATGTAATTACATAAATTATATATTTTTCCTAATATATGCCAAGTTAAAACTTTCTTAAATAATTGAATTATTAACAAAATATACAATTTATACAAAATAATACATTAACAAGGCGACACGGTGGCGCAGTGGGTAGTGCTGTTGCCTCACAGCAAGAAGGTCGCTGGTTCGAGCCTTGACTAGGTCAGTTGGCATTTCCGTGTTGAGTTTGCATGTTCTGGCTCAACTGGCTCAAATGTAGGGCTGGGCGATATGGCAAAAATGCAATCTTGATAATTGTTTTCCATATTAAATGATAAAAATACATATATTTCGATATCAGTTGTTAATGCTCCCAGATTTAAAAGAGTACATTTTTGGTGGTCGAAAATTTGGTACATCTCTAAAATGAAAACACATATAGATTACCATAGTTGCACATTTCTGCAGTATGAATGGCTCTTCAATATAAAGCAAAAAAGTCCAGAGCTTTCATTGTTATTTACATTAATTTTATCGCAATTCGATATTATATCATTTAATCGGCTCAGCCCTACTGAAATGCAAAATATATGTTGAAAAATGCTCAAAACAATGTCACACTGCACAATACAAAATGCTGAAATTATATACAATTGAAGTCAGAATTATTAGTCCCCCTTTAAATTTTTATTTATTTTTTTTATATATTTCCCAAATGATGTTTAACAGAGGAAATGTTCACAGTATGTCTGATAATATTTTTTTCTTCTGGAGAAAGTCTTATTTGTTCTATTTCAGCTAGAATAAAAGCAGTTTAAAAAAAATAAAAACATTTTAAGGGCAAAATTATTAGCATCTTTAAGCTACATATTTTTGATAGTCTGCCTGCCTAGTTAACCTAATTTACCTAGTTAAGCCTTTAAATAACACTTTAAGCTGTATAGAAGTGTCTTAAAAATACTATTTTCTATCATCATGGCAAAGATAAAATAAGTCAGTTATTAGAAATGAGATATTAGAACTATTATGTTTAGAAATGTGTTAAATCTCACCGTTTATCAGAAATTAAGGAAAAAAATAAACAGGGAGCTAATAATTCAGGGGGGCTAATAATTCTGACCCCAACTGTATGTGAAATCAAATTTATTTGATAAATTTGTAAAATAGCGTAAAATAATACATTAAATAGATTACAGATATTTTCAAATGAAAATATACAGTATAATATATTGGAAGTTTAAAATTGTAACACGATTGAAATTGATTGACTAAATGAATGAATGAATAAGCAAGCAAGGCTCAGATATTTACAAATGTATACTATACATAATCAAAGAGCACTCATGTAATTAAGTATTTATGTAATAAGTGAAACCTTAAAATTGAATCATGTATAACACTATGAGTGTATTACAATACAAGCAGACCAATGTCTCCAGCATGATAAAGCACTGAGCAGAAGGTCTGTGTGTACAGAGAGAGTAAGAGAACATTAATCCAGCAATTGTAGCAAAACAAAGCAAAGCAAATCCCCAGAGATGGAGCAGTAATTAATTCTGCCAGGATATCTGGGCCATCAGAAAGCTGAGTTAATGTAAGCTATTTCTAACGCACATAAAACATGAAAGTCAATCGGTAAACAAGTGCTGCGTGGCTTCCTATTGAACACAGATGTGCGCATGAAAAGCCCAAGCTGACACTCACACAGCTTATAAAGAAAACAGCTACAATTATACAGAATACATCTCTAAAAGACAATGCAAAAGTGATTAATGATATAGAACTTGAAGGGACAGTACACCCAAAATGCTAATTCTGTCAACATTTTTGCAACTTGCGAAACAGTTTGAATTTCTTTTTTTTGTTAAAGGGCCATGAAGAGAAAGTAAAGATGCTCCTGACGAGGCAAACATTAAGTCTCGCAATTGTAGGTATTATTCCCAACTGTATTTGTTAAAATAAACAAATAATTAATAAATACACCATGGACCCTTTTCACAAGCCTGTTTTGACGTGTTTAACGATCATCAGCATCTTAAATTCTTTAAAGTTGTTAATATTATTTTTTTTTTAAACATATGAACATTTAAATGTATTTATTTATGTACTATATCATCTTTGCTTCAAATTACAAAAAACTAATTACCGCTTGTGCAAGGGGTTTCTAATGCAGCATCTATGGGACAGGACAGCAAATTTGACATTTTTCTTTCCTTGGGCTGCCGTCAGTCTCACACATTTTTTTTTTTTTTTTCTGAAAGTCTTTATAACATCAGCGTGGACTTTTTCTTTTATTATTTAAGCAAAAAAAAAAAAAAAAGATTGAGCAAAAAAAGCTTGTAAAATGTCTTTGTTGTCCCATTCACTTCCCTCTAGGTTTTCCTAACTATGATGACTACCGGTACTGAAAAAACCTGGAAGTATGAAAAGAGTCTATTATGCCTGCCACAAATACTGCATCGCGCTGAAAAAGTGGACTGTTGTAATCTTAGCATGCTACATATGTTGCGAAAACATCGGTCTGGCACCCCATCTCACATCGCACTTCAGGTTCAGACAGATGTACTGTAACTGTTGTACAACCGTTTAAAAAGACCCTAACAAAGCATTTTTAGTCTATAATACTGTAGTAATAATTCTGTAACCTACTTAAAAACTTTAGTACTGTAACACATTAGTACTCAAAAACTGAAAGAGTACTTACTGCTGACGATACAAACTAACTTTGCCTCTGAAGAAACGTAAAAAAAGAACACTGATCATCACACAAACTAAACTCTTGGAGACAGGACAGTCAACACCAACTTGAACAGCGTCTTTTTTAAAAGGAGACAAGTGGCAAATCTGGATTTCACCATTTCCAGATGCAAAAAGCTCTCAGGTAAAAAATGTTCCTTACAAATTGTTGTCACATGTTAGCAGACCACTATAATCCACACATGAGGGTCAACACGCAAGCTGTGCTCTCATCGCAGGGAGATTGAAACTAAGTCCTCGTTGCAGCACATTTATAAACACAACACTGACGACCCATGTCTCCAAACAATTCTTCTTCTTCCACTTGTTTGAATTAGCATTATACGGTTGGCAACACAACATGGCATCACTCTGAACACTGTAACAGGTAAAAGGAATCTTTGAAGCTATATCATGCATATTAATATAGTTGCACCTAATTCACAATAGAGCATGCTGATTGGTTTGAACCAAGTCACTCCCATAAATTAATAAATAGATGTGATGAAAACCCAATGACATCACTTTGTACTAGCCGGTACAGACAGCCAATCTCCACGCTGAAATTTACACAATGATCTAATCGTTGTGAAGTTGCTTCAATCTTATTTTAAATGAAGGAACCAATTTGCTCTAAACAACGCAAAAACAACCAATTTTCACATTTTAGGGAAATATATGTCCTAATAGTGTTTTTAGCAATGTGGGGCATGTATATGATTGTCAACATCTCAAAAAAATGTGTTTTGGTGTTTCGTGACCCTTTAAACACAAAAGAAGATGTTTTGAAGAATGCTGGAGACCATTAGTCTATTGCATTATAACATACAGTTAAAGGCAAAATTATTAGCCCTCCTTTGAAAGATCTTTCTTTTTAAAATATTTCTCAAGTGATATTTAATGGAGCAAAGACTTTTTCACAGTATGTCTGATAATATTTTTTTCTTCTAGAGAAAGTCTTATTTGTTTTATTTTGGCTGTATTAAAAGCAGTTTCTATTTAAAATCAAAAACATTTCAACGTCAACATTATTAGATCCCTTAAGCAATAATTTTACCATTGTTGTACAGACTGCC